AACTTTCTCGCTGGAGGACAGGACAGCCAGTGCTCCTGAAGCCGCTCTAACGGATAAATAACCGTAAATAACTCTTCAGTAAATAACCCTTCAGTATCCTAGGGATGAATATCAATGAAGCATTTCCGTTTGCAACTATTAAACAATTACATTATGACCTCGAGATTTCTATCGCGTGATAGTTGACGAGGGCGCAGCCCGAGTCAACTATCTCGCATAGAAATCGAGAGCGAATAATGTTTTAGTGTAAATCTACTAGTCGTTCAAAACTTTATCTAAATCCTCTTCACAAACATTTCGAAAACATCAAGAAGCGGCCGCCATTTTGTTAACAAGCACACACTGCTACGCTACTCACTATCTATCACAGAATAGATAGTGAGCAACGTAGCCAATCAGAGAACGGCATTCGTGATAGAACGCTAGTAGATTTACACTAAAACTCGATAGCCGCACCCTTAACAGTGACACCAGTGATACCTGGTTTGAGTACAACACACTCTTGTGCAAAGAAATGCGGTTGTAAACAGAGTAATAAAGTGGTGACGTTTTCAACTCCTGCAAACCCATCGGGTCGGTCATACCATCATGTTTCCGCCTTTGTGAAGTCTACAACTTTATGCGAGAGTTCACCAGAGGAGTCCCACCAAATAATATTGAGAAAATATTGATGAAACACATTGCCCAGAAATAAAAATATCTCACCGCGACAGCTCAAAGTCCTCCTCGCCTGACAGTAGAGTCAGTAACTTCACTCGTTCTGTGGGGGCGTCTTCTTTCTCGTACATTTTGAATACCTATGGTTTGACAATCATAGAAAAATAACCACAGGTAGATCAAACTTGTAGCGTCCGACAGTCAACATTCAAGTTCTCCTTACTGACTACTATAAATAACCTGAAGTAATAATAGGGAGAATTTGCTAGAGCATCAAGGGAACCAACTTTTAAGAAGATAACAACATGTAGATCAAACAAGTAGCGCACGACAGTCATTACTAAAGTTCTCCTTAATGGCCCTATAAAGTCCTTAATGGCCCTATAAATTCCTTCAAGTAATAATAGAACATCAAGGCAACTAACATTTAAGTGTTCCCCTTTCAACAGTGAAACGCTTGCCTGCACTGTCACAGTTGACGAGAGAACGAGTAAAATCTAAGAGCATTTTTACCTCCTCACAGAGCACCATGTTACACATGCATTCAGTGGCGGCTCTCTTGACCATGTCATGTTCATCAAACATTAGACTCTCGATCAAAGGGAAACCTTTCTCCTTCATAATATGTCGCCTGAAATCACACAAAATATGCGTCCTTTAACTCACCTTGCACGTGCTTTTCACGCGGTGGCAAATAGCGCTGGCGCATAATTTAGGTGGAAATTAAACAGCGCATCAATGTAGCATCTCACCTGACTTCGTCGCTCATTTGAGCCAAATTCGTTAACGCCATTAGAGATTCANACAATATTCGTGTTCCCGGTGTTGGACTGGAACTAGCTTGCAACCGAGGCTAGTGCAGGGAGTCTTATCAAATGCAAATGACATTAATCTCTTTGTAATGATATTCCACCGCATGAGCCTCCATTTCAAGCTAGTTCCAGTCCAATACCGGGAATACGAATATGGTCTGTTAATGTTGCCTTTTGCCTCTGTTTCAAAACGAATCCTCGCTTCGCGCTCGTCCGATTTTTAAAATTACTCGCGCGATTATAACCTGAATTACACTCTATTCGGTCCAATTACAATCACTAATCACGCTCGTAATTTCAAATCAGCCTCGCGCTGCGTGTTTGTCCAAATTTGAAATTACTCACCCGATTTCTCCCTGAATCGTATTCCACTCGAACCAATTACTATTATTAGTTATGGTTTTATTTTTTCCAATTACCTCAACAAGTTTCCTGACCCTCTTTCTAACATACTCTTCGCCATCCTGAAAAAAAGAAATCAGGGCTGCTGTTAAACTGGGAACTTCATACTGATATAAGCACAAAACACTAAACCAATGTGCAATTCATGCCTCGAAACTGGACTACACAAGTATCCCAAACATGATGCAGATAAGAATGAAACCTTCAGTTTACTGTGGAAAAAAATACACAGCAGATAGTAATCCACTGATAACTCCCATTTCTAATTTGGACATAAAAAGCACACAGTACAATGTTCATTTAAAAGCGCCACAAGCTCTCACCTTTTCTGAGAATTTTGGCAGTTTGACTTTCGCAAATTCTCCAAGTTGTTTCATTTCATCAGGAATGTCTGGTTTATCAAACGTGTTTGTCAGGTTCACCAGCGTCTGACACACTCCATACAACAAAGAACTATCCTTAGCCTGATAATCAGTTAAGCAATCAATTCAGTAAGGAGAAAAGGATGAAAAGAGTAGGAGGGAAGAAAGGAAGGAAAGAGTAAGAAAGAAATGGAGAAAGGAGCAGGAGACGTAGAGACATCGGAAGGAAGGAAAGGAGGGAGAGAAGGATTGAGGGATGAAAAGAGGAAGGAGAGGAAAGAGGGAAGAAGAAAAGGAGAAAGAAACAGAGGAACGGGAAGAGGCAGGCAGGTTAAGCAGGCAAGAAAGAAGGAAGAAATCCGTCGCTTTAGAAGCGAGAAGAAATCTGGGACGAGAAGAGACTCGCCCCAGATTTCTTATCTAATTGGCATTGTTGTGTTAAAGCGAGGCCCCACGATCCCAGAAGCACATTGACTGGGCCACGAAAACTTCAAAGATATTCGGGAGTGAGAGGTAAACGGATCCATGATGCCATTCCTCTCGTCTGTATTTGCCATCTGTAGTTGCCGTCGTGTTTTGCGTAAGGTCCCTAATATTATTTCCCTGCAAAACGACACTTTCTCTACCTGAGCCCATGCATACCTCCCTGAGCTTGTCTCGCGGGTTAACACTTTCCCCTTACACATTGTACTAAGCAATCATTACAAAAATATACCTTCGCTAGTTCCATGAGCGACCTTACAGCCTGCTGGTCTTCAAGAAAGGTTTCCTAATAAAGAAAATCGGGAAAAATGATTCACCGAGTTTTCTCAGGCAAGTATATGGCCGTTCTTGCAATAAATTCCAATGGAAAGTGAACCATGAAAAAAATCAGTGAAGTTTGAATACTTAGGGCCTCTTCATATGAGCCTGGTCATATGAAGAATATGAGTGGTCACACACTAGGGTTTCACACACACGAAACCAATAAGGCCCCTTGTACAGCATAATAAACTATGCCACGTAAAAGTGATCCTCGTTAGGGATTTCATCCACGGACTTCAAATTCACCTAAAGTGCCCAATCTGTTAAAGTGTACCTTAACATCAGCCTCCATGGTTAAGAAGGATAATCCTTCTGCTGCCCACTTACGCAGTTCCATGTCTTTCTTAGATTTCATCAGGAAACTAAATAGGATCAACGCATTGCATCAACTGTACTTGCCAAGATAAAAATTAACCACATATATAATAGCAATTGTGGTATCCCAATGTACGCAATGTACGTAATAGTGGTATACTCCCAGGGCTGGAAGATTTAAGTTAAACCTTAATTAACCCAATATGCATGTAATAATCTTAGACTTCTGGACAAGAACACCTGGCATAACGTTACTAGGCGGGTCAAATATGCAACTGTTTCTTAAACGTTTAGTGGGGCGGGCAAATTCCTACCACACCGTGCAGTTGTTTGTTTATCTACAAGTTAGTATATTCAATAACGCATGCGTTAGAATGGACATTACATGCTGGCGTATGCAATCTACGTGTCTCTCTCCCCCTTTCCCCTGTCCCGGGAGTGATCCTGTTCTATGTAATTATGCATATTTCACACTTTGCGAAACTGATTCATGAGTTTGAGGCTGATTGGTGCAAAGAAGTTTATTTCAGAAAATGTACTCACCTTCGCACTGATTTATACAGCTTCAATGTGGCTCCTTCTGCAAACGTTTGATCGTTAACAGTTCCTCCTCCTGTGGTGCCCAGCTTACAAAGACCCTGAAACATGTAGACACCCAACGTTTAAATGGCTCCAAGGCAGTAACTCCAGCAGACACATGTATCTACACATTCAGACATTCAGCTTCAGATCGAGATCAGAACTAACACGTTTCATCTAGATGCGTCTAAGGCAATCCCGAATGATCCTGTTATTATGGATGGCTTGCACCAATTTACACAAGCAAAATATCTTTATATGATAATAATTTAAACAAAATATATTGTCTTCCCCTTTTTAATCATAGAGGGAAGCTTCTTAAATCTTAGTAGGTCTGACCAAAGGCAGTCACTGTCTCCTGTTTGAGATAATGAACAATGTAGAAGTTAATATGAACTGTGGTTGGACATCATTCTCCGATGTTATCTACTCAATTGAAGGACATTTGGCCGCAAAACGGACCTGCCCCAAAATTTCAGTTGCTCTTGCAACGAACTGCTATTACGCAAGGCTGATTTTTGGCATCCTTTTTTGACACGTTGCAATGGCTTCTGTTTAATTTTTCCAATAAAAATACAAGAAGTAAGTAGGGTGATTTAATCACTGTTGGAGACCGTACGTGGAAACTCTTTTTCTCCTGTTTTTTTTTTTTTTTTTTTTTTTTTTTGCATTTTGATTGGCCAGTTCCCAAGGAAGCCATCAAAAACGAGTGAGAAAAAAGCGAAAAAGTTATAGATTAAAATAATCAAAACTTTTGTCAGGTGGCAACGGAATGGCGCGCAGCACTACAAAATGTCTCGTCTCCTCTTTGAATGCGTTTTTGGTTGTGGAATTGCCCCGAAGACCACATGATTCCAAGTAAGTACTTACCACCAAGGCTCTAACTCGTATGTTGTCATCCTTTAAATGGTACAAGTCTTTTAAAACAGGCAGCGCCTAAAAAATAAATAAATAAATAAATAAATAAATAAAACTATAGCTACACACACTCTTTTTACGGGCACTGAGTTCAATGTTAAAAAGATGTAAAACACACTCGGATTCATGTCCTCGTATTTCCCGTCAAGTTCCCATGCGACCGTCATACATTCAACTAAATGCAGCTGAGATGCTGAGAAAGCGGCGAAAATTCAACTCAGTGACAACTGATATTCCACAATCTCCATTTATACCTACTTGCGATGACAGCATCATGTCTTGAATACACTCTATGCTGCACAGAACATTTACAGACTAGACAATTAGTTGTCGACTACTATTTCATATCGGCAATTGAATGTTTTCGACATTTAAAAAAACGTAGTGCCAAGTGTGAGAGACGAACTGTTAGTTGTAGTAGTCGACAAATAAAGCAGTTTCCCTTTTTACACAAGGAAACTGCTCATTTGTCGATAACTAAAAATTCAGCGTTTAGTTGTTTACAACAAAATCTCTTCCCTCACCGGTTCCGAAAAGTTTTCACACGCGAAAAGCGGTAGCAAAATCTCAAACCTTTTGACTACAGGGCTGTTTTATTCATAAATTCTTAATACGAACAGATGTTCTCTTCATACAAGAAGTTTCAGGCGTATACACCTCTCTGTCTTTAAATATCGATTAACTAAAAATGGCTTCTCGGGCCCGAAAAGTTTCCGGGGCTTTCGAGAAACGGGCCCTAAGTCTCATAAGATAACATTGTGGATTTTGCCGAGTTAATGATAATTTCACTTACTTACCCTCATGTTAAGCACTGTGCTTAGTTTCTTTTCAGACGCTCCTAATGCTAATGTTTCAGATGCAACAATCTGTAAATAAATATATATTTTAACTATACATAAACAATTAAAATGCTACAAGGTATTCACAACTACTCCCAGTAAATAATAGAAGTCTTCAGCTTTTGAGGCGTGTTTTTAATCTGAGCATTTATTGATTTCTTCTTGAAGCAAAGAGAGGAGTCTCAAACAAAATTTTGTATTTTAATTCCTGTTTCGCTTTTAACTTCTCTGAGAACAACACAACTCCCCCAAGATTTATATATCATCATGGATCGTTTAAATCCTTCTCGCTCGCTTCATAGTTAATAGTTGAGAATGAAACGTTTTGATTAAAAACAAAAGTGAAAACACTGTTCAAGTTACCTGTGACACATGGTCTTTTCGTTCAGCAAGTGCAAGGATTTTTCCCAAGAATTCTTCATTTCCAAGAACTGTAGCAGCGGCCTCCTGCACTCCCTGAATATACAAGGTTCAGGTCAAAGTTAAACAAATTTATTATATGAGTTTCTTATAACAATTAAACGAGATAAGAAAGACTTATACGACTATATTCAGGGGTTTTACTAAGGCTGGGCACTGGAAAAATTGACCAGCTGTGAAAGTGATTTTGCGCCCCTGGTCTGGATATTTGTTTCCCATAAGTAATTTCAGTTAAGAAAGATTTGCCGGGCTGTGAGAACTACTATCCTTCCTGCTGACTAGGAAAACCTTGAGAAAACCCTTGCTAAATTACGAAATTGTAGTTAACATAAAAAGTCAAACACTCTCCAAAGTCCGGGACTTGCGTTAGAGTTTCTGATTGCTTTAAAATTGTTTGCAAAGATTTTAACCAAGCAACCATCAACAAAAGATGTTACACAGATTTTTGCTGAGCTAAGTGACTACATTTTTTCAGTTACAAGTACACGTGCACCAACTAGAGTTCAACTAAGAGAAGAATTGGCATGCGAAGGGAAACGTCCGTCAACTCAAGCAAATTAAAGTGGCTCAGGTTACCTTCTGACACATGGTGTCAGAGGTGGGTGACATTGGTTTTGTGTACTGCTTGCAGGATTTTTCGCCTGATTCAACACGATTATCCTCATCAATTCCTCCCTCTTCATGAACCAATACTAGCTGAGGACAGTGTTATCTTAAATTAAATGCAATAGCGAAAACTCATCTTGTTTTCGAACCAACCTGAAAAAGACAAGACAGAGCTGTGGCTCCCTTGATGTGTGCTTCTGGGCTGCTTTGAGTCAGGTACTGGCTGCAAACAACACAGAAACATAATTAGGCAATTAGCACGGATACATGTATGAGTAAATTACCGGTAGCCGCACCCGTCAATAGGGCGGGAAGTCCGAATTAAGTTACCCGCGCTAAACAGAGAAGGACCTGAACTAAGAGACCATGCTTGAACCAAGCTCTCTTGTTGATAATATAAATGGCGGCCGCCGAGGCAAGGTTAGTTTATTACTAGTATGTTTGTTGTCTGTTACAAACCACAGGAACAAAGAAAGGAACATTGTGAGTCTGCTGCAGAACAGTCTATCCACAGATGTTTATTTTTGTTACAAGTTCAAAATGGAGGGTCTGTGGACAGGCTAGCTACAGATGTGAAACTGAGAGAGAATTATACTTAAACATATATTTGAACTGCAAAAGACAGATTTCAGCAGGACATGAGAGATCATGAATCGAAATTATTTCCGAAACGTTAGCAGTTGCGAAAATAACGCCTGAAAAAAAAATCAGGCTTGAGAAGGTACCAGAGGCCATGGCCTCTGCGGTACCGATGCGGTGCTCTACCAACTGAGCTACAGTGTCACGCCAACTGGGAGCTTCTCATGTCTTGAGCTAGTCACATAAACGTAGATGGTGGCGATGTGAAAAAGAATATATGTATCAAACAATAATTTTATTTGAACTGTAGGAGAAAGATTTTCATTGCGGTTACGTACGCAAGTCAAACTCAAGGCCTACCAGAAAAGGGTCAATCACTCTAAACTCTGAGTTCTAACCACAGGAAGCTTGTCGTGAGCTAGGTTAGTTATCTAGGCTTGATCGAGACATGAGCCAAATAAGCTGCTGGTGCAGCTGCATGTGTGTACCTGATAGCTGCTGTTGCATCCTCCATCAATGGCTCCTTTTCCTTTTGATGATAACTGAAAATGATAACACCACGCCCGTGAACTAGATGTACATTTGTGCATGTACAGTGTCATAATAAGCTTGTGTCAAGCATTATTTGAATACGGTATACCATGGTGCATCCATTCCCCAAGACACTTTCTAGCTACTCAAATATTCCTGTACATGAGGTTTCGTTAGTTTCTCTGTTACATGTAGTGTAGGCTTCGGTAAAAGCTCCTAGTATTTTTCCCATTCGAACATCTTGCATGTTATTGCATACAGTCGTACAAATTGTTCTGGTAACCAGTTTCAAACTCGCCTACGTGGCAGCTAACATGACAAGAAATGACCACTTAAACCTAACGGATATCCACATGAGGAATTTGTTACTGTATTTAACGTTCAATAGATAGAGATAGATAGATAAACTTTATTTAAACACGATAAACAATTGCTTGGTTCATCTGAATAAACTCGGTTGCGATAACACTCACCCAAAAGAGTCTACCATTTTGGCCAGTGCTACAGAGATATGCATTCGTGTGTTATTTGATACTGCAAGGCCTTCCTTTTCCTCGGAATCCAAGGGAGCTGTGCAAGCAGCAACAACCATCAGCTTACGAACACCTGTGGAAAGCAAGGATCAAACAAGGTATTGACTTATAATCAAACCTGTGCTTTTTATTATAAATCAATGTACGATTGCGACACTTTGTTTAGTTTGAAATTGGAAAAAGAGGGAAACAGTCTCCCTTTGCACCAGTCATAGGCATTTACTGTTGTGCAAGTGGTTTTCAGTTGAGTGTCATGAAACCAAAACCAAAGTTATCACTCTAGCAAATCACAAAGGACACAGACAATCCAATAAACCAATCAAAATTCATAGCAAATACGGGAAAACGTGCGTGAGCGAGTTGTGATTGGTTTTGGCTTTACTTCAGTTCTGATTGGCTGAAAAAGTGGCGCAAGTTTTTTAAGCCAATCATGTAGCGTTAAAGTGAAAAACAAAGAACTCTACACTACGGTAAAACCATTAAAAACATGTATACACAACTGTACATCCTTGTCAATAACTGAGCCATGTTGAGAGCTACAGTGTAACTCACCAACCACATACAGTAACTAATAACAGCCAACTATTTGCTTTAATGTTACAACTAATAACAATTGTTTGAACATCTGTGCACATTTACCTCCAACTTTTACAAAAAGTTCAACAGCCAGCTTGTTTTTAGGAATAATTTTGATTAGAACATCAATGACTGCATCACGACCCTCCACGCCAACTCTAAAGATAGAAGGAAAACGAAATAAGAAGGTTTCCGCTGAACATTCGAGCAATAATGGCAAAAATATAGTTACTAAAAAAAACCTTATAGCATGATGACACTTTGAAAACGGTTAAGAAGAACTTATTGACACTTTAGCTCTCAAGCTGACCCCGTGTGAGATAATCGAATTTGAAGTTATCCATATTTCAACTAAAACGGACGTTTCACGTCAGTTCAAAACAAAATAACATGCGCTTTAAGCAATTTTAGGAGGTTTCACATTACTTTTCTCAAGAATGCTTGAGAATTTAACCACGGGGTCACTCAGAGAAATGAATTAAAGTGAGATGTTTCAAATAGTATTCAAAATGTTAGTGTAATAAGTGGCGAATTCAGACCTTGAGCTTAAGGGGTGGGGGGTTTCTTGTTCTGCCGGCTTTTCTTTCTTCTGTGATTTTTGTTTGATCCAAAATAAGTGGGGGGGGAGGGGGGGGGTGGGTGGAAAGTGAGAGTGTTGTAACAAAGACTTAATAAAATCTCATACTCACTTTTCACTCATAACAGCATCCATGAGCAGTGTAATAACACTTCGAATTTCCTCTTTATTTTCTGAGACAAAATAAGTACTTTAACACCAACTTTCACTAACGAAAACAGCCTTGATGACCAAAATGCCATTACAAACTCGTAACTTGCTACTGCAATTAGGTTACAATATATCATGACTTTGTATGCTCACATACTAGCAAAAAATTTTGCATTTCCATATTACTGTCAAATTGGAGGAAAACTCATTCAGTAATGGTTTCGAAAGGTAGAAAAATGCTGTCTAAAGACCAATTGAAGACCATGAAATAAAGGATTTATAAACAATAATGGTGACTGAGGAAGATTAAAATGGACTATGAACAACTGAAAATTGCACCATCTGTGACTGTAGTGCCTTTAAAATAAGAAATTTGGAAACAGTTCTGTCTTACAAGTAAGTTCAATAGCAGAGAATTTAGGAACAAAACAGTGTTGTCAGTCAAAAATAATTCACATGCAGTGTTCTCAACTACATTCAACTGCACTCAGAATGAAGCCAGCCCCTGCTATTTTTGTCCAGTGTGAATAGTAATTGTAAACATGAACATTAGATAATTATCTTTATTTATGCCAAACGTTTCTTTGCAACACAGTTAGCCAACTGTATATAGTATGACTTGTGCTTAATCTGAAATCCCTTTCCCTATTGTAAGTTTTCCACATACCTTTTTTCCAAAAAACCCTCACAAAATCAGAATTCAATCTACATGCAGCCAATAACACATGATGCATTTCTCAGAAAAAGAGCCTGACAACAGCTTGCTTTATACCGTGTCATAACTTGAAAATTAAAATACTAAGAAAAACCAATCATTTAGAAAATATTCATTTAGCCCTGCTTTTGCATAATATTGAAAAAAGCACCCAAAGGGTTCAATTTTCCTTTTTTAAACTGACGTGGCTGTAGGATTCTACAAACTACTTGTAAATGAAAGCAATCATGGAAGAATGATCACCTAGTTCTTTTGGTGGTTCTTCTCCTCTGTTCTTCTTTTCAGGTGGCTTGGGAACAAGTGAATCCAGAGCTTGTTGTGGAACTAAGACAGCTGCTGTTGACACTTCATTAATTGGCTGCAATAGTAAAACATGACATTTGATATTACATGTAATTACACACTTGTCTAGTAGGAGTGAAACATGACACATTGAACATTGTGTCTGAGGGTTCAGGAAACCTTTTTAATATTTTTGTATGGTCTGAAACAATTTTCAATTTGAACACCATTTTGGACTGTCAAAAGCAAAACGAGTCACGTTGAAATTATATGTATCATAAGGTTTTTAGCAAGTTTAAGGGATCTAAATTCCTGTTTCACATTTACTTGCTCTGAACATTAAGAGAAATTGACAATGAATCACAGGACATATTGATGACAAAAACAGCTCCAAATTTTAGCGAATGAATGTTCCCACCAAACTGATAAATCACAACACAAGTTGTAACTAAGAAATATTAATAACAAACGCACATATTAAGTGTTACAGTTGACAAGTTGCCGGTAACAATTAATACCTGGCTGCCAGTGTCACAGTGACTTTGACGTCTATTCAAGCTTAATAAAGACCAGGGAGTTTAGCAATACAGTAACCACATAATACTCACTGATTCAATCAGAGCTAAAAGCCTTGGCAAGGAAACTTCTTTGAGCACAGACAATGTCTATAAAACACAACATACAGAATGTCTTAAATTACAAAGTACTATCTTGATGTATTTCATGATATTATTCCTGGCTCAAGACTGCTGGCTGCAGGGGTCTTTGAGTTACGTTCTTTGCTAATGACACATTGCTCTCTTCATTAAATGGTATTAAGTGGATAACGAGGAGGCCTAGGCACCGGTTGTTTGGAGGCTGGATAACGCTATCCACTGGATAAATTGCTATCAAGTTAAATAATGCACACAGGAAATACATGTAATGGAGAGTGCAAAAACACTCTACGTCTAGTATGAGTTGCCTGAGGTCCAGCTTCTTGACTGCTCTTCACACTTACCAAGAGCATCACAACTCAATGTTGCAACTTTAGTTGAAAGCATGAATCATTCCTTTAACTTATAACACTAACAATGAAAAATGGGGCAGTAATTTTAGTTAACATTTTACACTCCATGGGCATGCATCATTGAATCACGATGCACGTTTACGTACACTGAGTTTGATAGCGCGGCTTTGCTCAGTTAAATGTTATTAACTTAAACTTGTTTAATTAAAGCAATTAAGTGTAAAAAAACTGCAATCTACCCTTAGCTTAGAGTTGGTGCATATTCCTTTAAGGACTTTCAACATTGCCACAGTCTGTTCATTTGATCCACTGTTTAACAAGGACACCACTCTGGGTAATTCACCTGCACAAGAAGTCATGATCAGAATATCAACTGAATGCTAATGGTTCTCAGTATCGGGATTATGCATACATACAAGGTATGTCTTTGACTGCAACTTCTGTTGGAAAGGTTTGAAATGAATCGTCCAACTGAGTTTCACATACTGCTTGGGATAATATGTGATTTTCTCATGCAGCTTTATAATAATCAAAGTTCATCTAATTGATTGTCCAGATGAAGGTGTAGCTCTGAAAAGACTTATTTGGTGGCTGATGTTTTGACAAACTGAGCAAAACTTTTCTTCAGAGTCCATTAGTTCTGAAAATGATTGGTCAATGTCAATGGTAAATGTGATGCTAATCGTTGTTTACAAGACCTGTGTAAAGTTTGTTATTGATCAGTTCTAGTAACTTTCAATATGTCTATTTCTAGTCAAATTCAGTTTTTCTGTTTGAGATTCATCTGTCAATTTTGTTTATGTCATAAATCAGTCCATTGTAAGAAGGCGGTTAAGGTGCTGGCATAAAACTGACCCTCACCCCAAAGATTGCACTAGTCTAGATGAGCTACTGAAACTCCTGGATTCAAACCATATATTATGTTAAAGAACTTAAATAAACATTATTACTTGTGTTTGTAAACATTTATTTATTAGTTCTCCTGCCTTTGACCCTTTGTATAATATGGAATGAGCCATTTTGTGCAATCTTTTCTACACTCTTCAAACAAAAATCCTAACCACATAAATGACAGATCGAAACAACTTTTTGAATTTTATTATATTAAAACTGCCTCCAACAGTTCCCGTAAGACCTTGACCAAAATTGTTGGATTGCCCATGCTAATCTCAAATATTCATACATAGGCAGAAGAGTGCAAGGGGGTGCTTCCAGTTTAGGCTGTTTTCAAAAACGGATTTATGCCAGTATTGAAAATTCAAGTGATTTAGAGAACGCTACTGCTCTGAAAGGTACGATTTATTCTGATCAGCTCTCCATTGCGGAGCTTCTAACCTCCCCTGAATATCCTCTGTGCTCCTGGCTCATCATTGGCTAAAATCACAAGATTCTTCACTGCCTAGAAACACATGAAAAGAAGCAATACAATTTAATAAATTAACCGCTTTCCTTTTAGTTATGCACATCATACTGTACATGTGCAAAGTCATGTAACTTTTTAAATGCAATAATAATGCTACTTTGTATTTAATCTGTGTTGTTTGCTATCAAACATTGAGGGTAAAATCTAAACCTGCATACTCCAGCACTGCATTCAAATACATCTGTTGATCATGTCATTGTACCAATTGTCAAGTCATTTAGCAAAGATCTATGCCAATCTAAAAAACCACAATGTGGGGAATCACTGTGAAAAAAAAAAATCATATCTGTCAACCCATACTTGCATTCTCTTCTCTTCACCATCCTCATTACTGAAAAGAGAAGTAAACATCTCATCCACAAGACCATCAGTGGTGCGACATCGATCAGTCTACAATTGAAAAGTATGAGTTAATAATTGTGACAGACCATACAAGCAGAAGTTACATGTACATGTACAAAGTACAGTGTAAAGGTTTATGAAACAACAGCCGTACGTGCACAGANGGGTGGAAAGTGAGAGTGTTGTAACAAAGACTTAATAAAATCTCATACTCACTTTTCACTCATAACAGCATCCATGAGCAGTGTAATAACACTTCGAATTTCCTCTTTATTTTCTGAGACAAAATAAGTACTTTAACACCAACTTTCACTAACGAAAACAGCCTTGATGACCAAAATGCCATTACAAACTCGTAACTTGCTACTGCAATTAGGTTACAATATATCATGACTTTGTATGCTCACATACTAGCAAAAAATTTTGCATTTCCATATTACTGTCAAATTGGAGGAAAACTCATTCAGTAATGGTTTCGAAAGGTAGAAAAATGCTGTCTAAAGACCAATTGAAGACCATGAAATAAAGGATTTATAAACAATAATGGTGACTGAGGAAGATTAAAATGGACTATGAACAACTGAAAATTGCACCATCTGTGACTGTAGTGCCTTTAAAATAAGAAATTTGGAAACAGTTCTGTCTTACAAGTAAGTTCAATAGCAGAGAATTTAGGAACAAAACAGTGTTGTCAGTCAAAAATAATTCACATGCAGTGTTCTCAACTACATTCAACTGCACTCAGAATGAAGCCAGCCCCTGCTATTTTTGTCCAGTGTGAATAGTAATTGTAAACATGAACATTAGATAATTATCTTTATTTATGCCAAACGTTTCTTTGCAACACAGTTAGCCAACTGTATATAGTATGACTTGTGCTTAATCTGAAATCCCTTTCCCTATTGTAAGTTTTCCACATACCTTTTTTCCAAAAAACCCTCACAAAATCAGAATTCAATCTACATGCAGCCAATAACACATGATGCATTTCTCAGAAAAAGAGCCTGACAACAGCTTGCTTTATACCGTGTCATAACTTGAAAATTAAAATACTAAGAAAAACCAATCATTTAGAAAATATTCATTTAGCCCTGCCTTTGCATAATATTGAAAAAAGCACCCAAAGGGTTCAATTTTCCTTTTTTAAACTGACGTGGCTGTAGGATTCTACAAACTACTTGTAAATGAAAGCAATCATGGAAGAATGATCACCTAGTTCTTTTGGTGGTTCTTCTCCTCTGTTCTTCTTTTCAGGTGGCTTGGGAACAAGTGAATCCAGAGCTTGTTGTGGAACTAAGACAGCTGCTGTTGACACTTCATTAATTGGCTGCAATAGTAAAACATGACATTTGATATTACATGTAATTACACACTTGTCTAGTAGGAGTGAAACATGACACATTGAACATTGTGTCTGAGGGTTCAGGAAACCTTTTTAATATTTTTGTATGGTCTGAAACAATTTTCAATTTGAACACCATTTTGGACTGTCAAAAGCAAAACGAGTCACGTTGAAATTATATGTATCATAAGGTTTTTAGCAAGTTTAAGGGATCTAAATTCCTGTTTCACATTTACTTGCTCTGAACATTAAGAGAAATTGACAATGAATCACAGGACATATTGATGACAAAAACAGCTCCAAATTTTAGCGAATGAATGTTCCCACCAAACTGATAAATCACAACACAAGTTGTAACTAAGAAATATTAATAACAAACGCACATATTAAGTGTTACAGTTGACAAGTTGCCGGTAACAATTAATACCTGGCTGCCAGTGTCACAGTGACTTTGACGTCTATTCAAGCTTAATAAAGACCAGGGAGTTTAGCAATACAGTAACCACATAATACTCACTGATTCAATCAGAGCTAAAAGCCTTGGCAAGGAAACTTCTTTGAGCACAGACAATGTCTATAAAACACAACATACAGAATGTCTTAAATTACAAAGTACTATCTTGATGTATTTCATGATATTATTCCTGGCTCAAGACTGCTGGCTGCAGGGGTCTTTGAGTTACGTTCTTTGCTAATGACACATTGCTCTCTTCATTAAATGGTATTAAGTGGATAACGAGGAGGCCTAGGCACCGGTTGTTTGGAGGCTGGATAACGCTATCCACTGGATAAATTGCTATCAAGTTAAATAATGCACACAGGAAATACATGTAATGGAGAGTGCAAAAACACTCTACGTCTAGTATGAGTTGCCTGAGGTCCAGCTTCTTGACTGCTCTTCACACTTACCAAGAGCATCACAACTCAATGTTGCAACTTTAGTTGAAAGCATGAATCATTCCTTTAACTTATAACACTAACAATGAAAAATGGGGCAGTAATTTTAGTTAACATTTTACACTCCATGGGCATGCATCATTGAATCACGATGCACGTTTACGTACACTGAGTTTGATAGCGCGGCTTTGCTCAGTTAAATGTTATTAACTTAAACTTGTTTAATTAAAGCAATTAAGTGTAAAAAAACTGCAATCTACCCTTAGCTTAGAGTTGGTGCATATTCCTTTAAGGACTTTCAACATTGCCACAGTCTGTTCATTTGATCCACTGTTTAACAAGGACACCACTCTGGGTAATTCACCTGCACAAGAAGTCATGATCAGAATATCAACTGAATGCTAATGGTTCTCAGTATCGGGATTATGCATACATACAAGGTATGTCTTTGACTGCAACTTCTGTTGGAAAGGTTTGAAATGAATCGTCCAACTGAGTTTCACATACTGCTTGGGATAATATGTGATTTTCTCATGCAGCTTTATAATAATCAAAGTTCATCTAATTGATTGTCCAGATGAAGGTGTAGCTCTGAAAAGACTTATTTGGTGGCTGATGTTTTGACAAACTGAGCAAAACTTTTCTTCAGAGTCCATTAGTTCTGAAAATGATTGGTCAATGTCAATGGTAAATGTGATGCTAATCGTTGTTTACAAGACCTGTGTAAAGTTTGTTATTGATCAGTTCTAGTAACTTTCAATATGTCTATTTCTAGTCAAATTCAGTTTTTCTGTTTGAGATTCATCTGTCAATTTTGTTTATGTCATAAATCAGTCCATTGTAAGAAGGCGGTTAAGGTGCTGGCATAAAACTGACCCTCACCCCAAAGATTGCACTAGTCTAGATGAGCTACTGAAACTCCTGGATTCAAACCATATATTATGTTAAAGAACTTAAATAAACATTATTACTTGTGTTTGTAAACATTTATTTATTAGTTCTCCTGCCTTTGACCCTTTGTATAATATGGAATGAGCCATTTTGTGCAATCTTTTCTACACTCTTCAAACAAAAATCCTAACCACATAAATGACAGATCGAAACAACTTTTTGAATTTTATTATATTAAAACTGCCTCCAACAGTTCCCGTAAGACCTTGACCAAAATTGTTGGATTGCCCATACTAATCTCAAATATTCATACATAGGCAGAAGAGTGCAAGGGGGTGCTTCCAGTTTAGGCTGTTTTCAAAAACGGATTTATGCCAGTATTGAAAATTCAAGTGATTTAGAGAACGCTACTGCTCTGAAAGGTACGATTTATTCTGATCAGCTCTCCATTGCGGAGCTTCTAACCTCCCCTGAATATCCTCTGTGCTCCTGGCTCATCATTGGCTAAAATCACAAGATTCTTCACTGCCTAGAAACACATGAAAAGAAGCAATACAATTTAATAAATTAACCGCTTTCCTTTTAGTTATGCACATCATACTGTACATGTGCAAAGTCATGTAACTTTTTAAATGCAATAATAATGCTACTTTGTATTTAATCTGTGTTGTTTGCTATCAAACATTGAGGGTAAAATCTAAACCTGCATACTCCAGCACTGCATTCAAATACATCTGTTGATCATGTCATTGTACCAATTGTCAAGTCATTTAGCAAAGATCTATGCCAATCTAAAAAACCACAATGTGGGGAATCACTGTGAAAAAAAAAAATCATATCTGTCAACCCATACTTGCATTCTCTTCTCTTCACCATCCTCATTACTGAAAAGAGAAGTAAACATCTCATCCACAAGACCATCAGTGGTGCGACATCGATCAGTCTACAATTGAAAAGTATGAGTTAATAATTGTGACAGACCATACAAGCAGAAGTTACATGTACATGTACAAAGTACAGTGTAAAGGTTTATGAAACAACAGCCGTACGTGCACAGATTATGTAACCTCTTACTAACCAAACGCAAGGCCCTGCACACTGGGGAATATTGACCTGAGCTTGTGGCAGAACAGATCAAGTGCAGCAAGGTCCATACAAAAATGACTGAGGGCCAATTATTTCAAGACTGAGTATGGTTCAAACAAGCTAGGTTAGTTACTAGGCCTTGACTTTTCTGCCTTTCAAAAGCAAAAAAATAAAAGCCTTATAATAATTTCCATGCATGGCAAAATCCCAACTATGAAAGAACTAATCAAAATGCCCAGATCGATTTACCTCAAGAGTACATTGTACCTTGCCATATAATAAATGTATTTATTATCCAGCTCCACTCTGCAGAGTACAAATTACTTATTACATGAAATTCTTGTGACATGTTTCTTTCACCATCTTGAAATGGGCATATATCATGACACTTAAATTCTGCAATTTTGCAAAAATTATGTATTTTGAATCACTTTAACTTTGCGTTTTCGAGTAACACAAGTAGCTTCCTTGGCAATGTTACTTAAACATGTCCTTGAATTTAGTAAACAGACTTTGTCAAAGATACAGTTTAACGTCAAAAGTAACAAAACAGCGGGACTATATGTTGACTATAATGTTAACATAATATTAGTCGACACTTAATTTCCGCATCATGTTATGTTTGCAACACTTACTGTTTGCATCACTTTAGTTTCACATCTTTTTTAAACTTGCAAAATTCTTGAAATTAACGTGTCGCGGAAAATTTCATTGTATAAGGTACTAGAATACTGTACTGACAATAAGGCATTCTGACTGGCTCATTTTAGTTAGTATACCGGTAATATATTTAATGATTTACCTTTGCTTGAAGCTGTGCACCAAGCCTTTTAAGGGTCTCCTGTACCACAGTATTCTACAGGGTAATGTAGTTAGAAAATAAATATCTATCTACACACAAGATAACCTAACAAAAAGTAGACATACATACTACTACCACATGGGTAGACTGCAACTACTAGGCTCTTCGCATTGCAAGAAAGGAGGAGAGGAAAGTGGACTTTTTCCCTTTTTCCTTTCCTGCTTTCTTTCCCTGTGAAAGGCCTGCTTGCAAGCTACAACATGGGAGGCCTGCGTGGTGACCTTATGGTTAGCATGCTGGACTCTGGATTGAGCAGTCTGTATTTTTAA